AAAGGTAACAACAATAATCTGAAGGATATTTATGACACTATTAAAGGTTAGGATATTTATTTCAATAATCAGGCATATGCAGTTACTATTCATCGTCCATACAATAAATACCTGTACAGTATAATATTTCTCTAGAAATTACACAGTGTAATAACTTATTATCTGCACAAATCGTGTAGATATCAAAACAATGGACGAGTTGACGGTTCTGGGCAAACACGAGAAGTACACTCTGCCACGTTTGTAGAGTGATACAGTGCATATAATTTGTAATAAAAGTTTAAAGTCCTGCTATATGGTAATAGTCGAGATAACATTATTTCTCTAGAAACAAGGCTGCCATTTGCAATGATGTCACTACCTTCAAACTCATCGCTGCAGTCAGAGGTAGTAGAAAGGATGGCCTCTTCAGACCCCAATTGTCACGTTCAGGTAAGTTTTAAGGATGTTTTTTCTTTTTTATGATCTAAGTCATGAACATTTCTTAAGTGAAGAAATGTTACTAACAATAAAGATAGTTAAAGTTTTCAACATCACTCACAAAGGATCTTGTATGCTTTAACTGTAATCAGACATCTCTAAGTTGACTCAAAACAATGGTGTCCTCTCTCATATTCAAATTCACTTTATATAGAGGTTGGTTTCAGGACTCGCGTCTTGAAGCGATGAGAAAACGGATGCCTCAGATGGGAGACTCAATAAAGAAGGCATAGCTACATGTTTTGTGGGCTATTGAGCGTAATATGAATCGTCTGATTTTACGTTAACTGACATGTATGACTGTGGTCATTACACTGTCAGGCCTTGTGCTCCCACCGGCGTCCCGCCCCTCCAGTGACATGACACAGATCATGTCCCTCTTCCAAGAATTTACCAACCGTATTGAAAAACTCTTCGTTACACTCTGTTCCACCATCTCCGACCTACTCTTGCCCTCTGTTGCCACCCAGTCACTCCTCTCTTCTGGTTTGACACAAGCTGGTAGACCCCCTGCTCACGGCCTACTCCACCGCCGGCGGCCTTCACTACTGGTGTAGTGCCTACCAGGTCTGCCCTGGTGTGTCCTGCTGCCCCGAGCGAAGTCCTGCCTCATCTTCATGACACATGGTGCCTCAACCTGTCCTCCGCCCACCGCAAGCTGCGCCCGCTACTGTGTCTGTGCTGTCTCCACCAGGGCTACCTATTGGACCTGAGGACACCACCCCCGGCTACCCATACCCCACCGGCATGTCGACGCACACGCCATCACAATCACACTAAAAGGTATGTCCCTCAATATTGTCAACGCCTATGTGCCTCCCTCCACCCTTACTGTGTAGTGGACCCCATCCCCTACAAGTGACGACTGAGCTCTCGCGCGCCTACCAGCCAATCAGCGTACAGCCAGCGATGCTGGTAGACCTACTCTCCAGTGCGGACGCACACGTAGCAACGCTAGGACCAGAGTGCCAGGGATTCCTGGCCTCCTCCTCTGTGATTGGCTCTCACGCTACGCGCACCCCAAATCCTGATGTTTCTAAATTGTATAAATATGGCCGTGGCTGGCCAGGGAGACAATTGTACTCTGACCTACTGGACCAGCAAGATCTCTCTCCAGCGCCTCATCACCCTGCTCCCTCAGAAAGCTCCTCGCCCTACAGGACCTCTGAGCAAGTTACTCCTCACCTAGTAACTCCTTAGCACTGCACTGTACAACTATATATATATATATATATATATATATATATATATATATATATATATATATATATATATATATATATATATATATATATATATATATATATATATATACAGAAAACTCATTGTGAGTTGCTATTCTACCTCATTCCTGAGTGAGATATATCTACATGTACGTACGTTTGTGTGCCCATACAAAGAGACAATAGACAACTAAAGAGAATTGACAACCGGCCACATACAGTACGCCACAATTGTTGTCATGGTCACGTTGACTGCTGATCTATTTAACTAATGATTCTTATTAAACTCCACGCCAGCAAAACATGAGTGAGTTAGCGACCCCTGAGAAGACGTGTTTTTTCCCCATACACGCTACACTTGTGTTCCCTTCCAGAGTCCCGCCTTTGTGAAGACAGTTATCAATGCGTTGTTATTCCACTTTCTCCTGGGAAGCTCAATCTTGTATTAGTCTGTGTAAATCCACTCAAGTAATTCGCCAGACCTTTGTCAACTGAGGGTCATCTTTGAATGAGTAACAGTTAGTTTGTTTGTAATTATTGTCATTGCGTGAGTAGCGATCACTGGCAACTCAGGGGTATATATACCCCAAGACGAGCCAGGGAGAGCGCTCCCTGACGCTGCTTCAATGTTTCTCCAGGTATGTTTTGTGTAGCCATTCAGTTAATTCAGTCAATTGTAGTGAATATCAGTGTTCACCAGTGTTCATGATTTAACAGTTGAATTGTCATTCACCCAGTGTAGAAGTAATATAACGTAAATACGTCTGTCGTCTAGACAAGAGAGTTGTTTGTGTTGTCATGCTCCCTGACGCTGCTTCAATGTTTCTCCAGATCCCATTGTGATTCTTACAACCATTCAACAACGGCCCCGGATGTAGTAGATGACCAACAGGGATCATATATGAAACGATGGCACCGATGCGGCCTGATTAATGTGCCCCACGGCTTCGTTGGGCCAGACCCCAGACCCGCCATGTGTCTGGCTACCCCACAATAACAACAGTCGTGAGCCCTAGTGTTCTACCCTGGGTTGCTCCTTGGAAGTGTATGTCCACAGAGAGGGTTGTGACATGTATGTTAGGGATAATTAGATGGAAATAATTATCCCATGTCGGGTAGTGGACCCCTGTATATGCTAGTTTAATTATTTACGAGTATGTTGAGTAAGTACTGAGTCTGCAATAAGCCCAGGAGGTGAGCCTGGTAGTTACATGATTAATACACTATCTTTCCCCATTGATTGTATATTAATAAACTTGTTTTTAGAGTACTTTAGGTGTATTCCTTTCTCCCACCGTATTTTACCTTTATTTCCATCCAAGTGACTTGATACCAGAATTACCATACCCATGTGCCTACACCCTCGACCATGCTACCAAAAGAATAGGTGACGGAACTGAGTAAGAGTAAGACTAAGAGAAGTAAGTAAGATGAGGGTGGTGTAGATATAGAGTGGGAACCCGCGCCCTCACACTGTACCTGTCCCACCACACCATATCACCTCCACCCCAACTGTACTTCGCCACGCCTAGTACATTGGCAACCCTGAGCCTGGCCGCACTGTTTGTAAACTTTGTGGTCAACCGACTCTCACACTACATCCTCACTTACCCTATGACCTCCTCCTACAGGTCCCCAGCCGTTACCAACACCTCTTCCCTCCCTGACCAGATATCCCTCCTCCTAGTGACAGACCTGGCACTTGACATTATTGGGGACCTGCCACATTTTGCCATAAACATAAATTGTACCGCGAATTTACCCCCCACACACTCATCATTCTGTCACTTTATGTAACTTGCTGACAAAACCCATCCATGACCCTTCAGGCTTTTACGCCCTTAATGCATAAGTCATAAAGGCAAGCATGAACTCCGCATGCTTCCCCGATGCTTCTGCGCTTCACCTTGCACAGGATGTAAGGGGGTGCCCAATAAACTAGCCCCCTCGTGGGCAATCTAAAAAAAAAATCTAACCCATTCTTTTATTAATTTGTTATGAACTTTATTGTCTATTGTTAGTAAAGGAGAAAATCGGAGTACCTGGAGGAAAGCTGTGACGTTTGGTAGTTACATTGGATAACACCTTCCCTTCACACGTGGGTCTGCACTGCACTTCACTGCAGGACCTCAACCCGTGGTTCGTGATAATGATGACCTGCCTGGTTGGTGAGAGATACACGAGTTGCCAGTTTGCCACTGTATCGCCGCACGAATAGCCGATCCCCAACCAAAAGAATGCACGGATACAATCTTTAACTTTTACTTTTTACTTTTATCCTCTTCGCCACTGATCGGCTTGTAGTGGATTTCTCCCCTACAAACGCTGTTTGTCGCTGAGTAGCCGACCCCACGAATTCCCCAGTGTATGCCTCGTGGTCTAGGTCAACCAGCGCCGCCCACGGAGCGGGGGTCAACTACTAAGCCACGCCAACCCCCGCTATTTAAGACCTGACCTCGTGGTGACCTGCCTCTTTCTACCTACACCAACCAGCCAGCAACACTTCCTCCTCCTCCTCCTGCCTGGTGGTCCTCGCTCCCGCCGGCGAGCATGGCGACCCACAAGCTGTCCTCTGAGCACCCTCACCAACCAGCTCTCTCTACATCACGCTTGTAACCATGCTGCCTTCCCAGCACCAAGCTGCATTGTACATCCAATACAACATGTATATAGAGAGCACATTGTGAGTTTCCTTTCTCCAACCCATCCTGAGTGTGAACACAAACTACCGTACCCCACAGGCTTATTAGCCGCTTGAGCGATCTGTCACGTCTCTGATTACTATTTTTTTTTTTTTGCCTGTGCATTTGATGTTGGACAGACATAGTATTGAAATTACTTTATTAGGTGAAAATTCATAATGTACTGTAGCCTACAATGCATACATAGCACAATTAGATAAATTATTATTCAATACTTATTTCCAATCTGGACATGGCACTAGCTGTTCCTTTAGTTTTAGGGGCGTTAACTAACTTTACTTCTTCAAACACAAATCCCAGCATACTTGCATTGTTTATATACATACTAAGCTAATAAATAGTCGAAATTATAAATTCAATCACTGTAAATTTGTGTGTTCGACCAAAGGTTATAATATAACCAAAGATACGTGTATATAGTCTGAGAATATAACCTTTGACATTGTTTCGATTTATAACAGACTTCTTATTACATTATTGGCTTTTTTAAGGGATAAATTGCTTCTGGAAATTATGTGGTTTACTATTAAATAAAAATAAAATAAATAATTTCAATTGAAGGCAATTTCAGTGAAAAAAAATATTAAACGCGTAACATAGACCGCACCATTGAGTCACTCGGCCAGCAGCCATGGTCAGTAAACAGTGTGGAGCTGAAGATGGACAGGGGCAGACAAGCGCTCTTCAGATAATTTAGTGCGGCAACAATGAAGTTACGATGCATGGCCATATGCTGTCTATTGATACTGAATCTGTCAAGGTGTGATGGTTCAGTGTCAGTCGGTGCTACAGCAGTAGGGCTGGCAGGAGCTGCTCTCTACGCTGGGTTTGACAAACTCCGCTGCACCTTCTATGAGTGTTGCTCCAACAATGCCAATTGGGTCAAACCTAACATGACAGGTATATTTTTGATGGTTTTAGTAACAATGGAGGAAAGAGGGAAACCCCCCTACAACAGGGTTTTTAAATTTGCATAAATGGGCCCAACTCAATTCCTTAATTAAAAATACGTTTTAGGTATAGTTCAGACTCTTCTAAGACACTCCGGCTAATATAAAGGACTTCACAGCTGCTTGACCCCGTCTCAGTATCAGTAAGTTCGCCCACGGTAGGTGTTAAGTTTTGCTAGGTTGGTTTAATTTAGTTTAAGGTTAGGTTAACTTGAACCTTTAAATAAACACTTTAATGGGTGCTGGACAACTCGTACCCATCAGAGTCTGAACTATACGAAAAATGTGTTTTTAATTAAGTAATTGAGTTGGGCCCACTTATGCAATAATACCCAGAGTTTTTCAACATGAAACACTTATGATTATTGATTTTAGTGTTTTGGGCCATAGCCTAATCAAGTGGCAGGCAGGTGATGAATGCTCATCACTTATTTTTGTTTTTATCCTCACCACCACTGATCGGTTCGTTAGAACCTTCAGTAAAGGTAGAGGAACAGCAGGAGTTGTTAGATATTGTAAAAAATTTTCCACAGTTCTTAACAGTATAATATGTATTTTGGTCAATTTGTAGTTTCGACCAACCACGGCTCTTGAGTTGAGCAATGTGTTTTTCCAATGGTTTAGACAATTTAAAAATATTTTTCTTCTATGATATTTCCCTCATAAATGACTTAAATATACCGGGTGATGTTGAAAGTTTAATTGTTTACAGTAAATACTGTATTCATACAAAAAATCTTCCAAATCTCCTCATGTCATGTTCACTAAAAATGTAATGCCATGATGCTAGGAAGTTAGTTAAGGTTAAGTAGGTTTTCTTTGGTTGGTTAATAACAATAATCAATAACAATTAACGGTTTATTGAAAAAGTTCTGCAGCCCGAAGGCTGAAAATATACATTGGACATAAATAACTACAGAGTCCCCCACGAAAGACTAATTAGAAAGGTAGAAGCTCTTGGCATCAAAGGTGACATCCTTAAATGGATTAGGGCGTGGTTACAGGACAGGAAACAGCGAGTGAGCATTAACGGCACTAAGTCCCATTGGAGCAACGTCACAAGTGGAGTTCCCCAAGGCTCAGTACTTGGACCATTATTATTTATTATATATATAAACGACATAGATATCGGCATTGACAGCAACATAAGTAAATTTGCTGATGACACTAAAATAGGACGTGTTATCAAATCTGACAAGGACTCGGCAAAACTACAGGAAGATCTAAACAAATTTTTCGAATGGTCTGAAAAATGGCAGATGAAATTCAACGTCGACAAATGTAAAGTACTCAGTATAGGAGATGTAAACAGGGAAACCAGATACCAGATGAACAACGATGCCATAGAGAAATCCGACTGCGAGAGAGATTTAGGAGTAATGATAAGTAGGAACCTTAAGCCAAGTAAACAATGTGTTTTTGCTCGTAACAAGGCTAATAAAGTACTTGGGTTCATACAAAGGAGTGTTAGTTACAAGATTAGCGAGGTCATCCTAAAACTGTATCTTGCTCTTGTGAGACCACACCTGGATTACGCAGTTCAGTTCTGGTCACCGTATTACAGAATGGATATAGAATCCTTGGAAAGAATTCAGAGGAGAATGACAAGACTAATCCCGGGCATTAGGAACCTTGAGTATAGAGACAGGTTAAAGCATCTTAATTTGCACTCCCTCGAGAGACGTAGAGTGAGGGGCACCTGATAGAGGTGTATAAGTGGAAGGCAGGGCTAAACAAAGGGACATTACAAGGTACTTAAACTATCCAACCAGGAGCGAACTCAGAATAATGGTTTTAAATTAGACAAATTTAGATTTAGGCGTGAAATAGGTAAACACTGGTTTAGAAACAGAGTAGTGGATGAATGGAACAAGTTACCAAATATCATCATTAACTCGAATACGCTGAATTGCTTCAAACATAGGTTGGATGCTCATATGAGCAATAGGGGTTGGGTGTAAACGGGACTGCCCAGTATGGGCCAATAGGCCCGCTGCAGTTTCCTCCATTCTTATGTTCTTATGTTCTTATATGTCTTTGACATGTAAAATCATCATTTCATTGAAAACCACTAATGCCCCAAGGAAATGAAGGTCATATTTGAAGAAAACACACCAAAAAACAGCAGAATAATATGTTTTCATATAAAAAGCACGAGCGTCACTAAAACCAATAATCACAGTGCAGTACCTAACTTTTTTCTTTTTTCTCTACGATCATAAATCACCTGTAGTGGGCAGAACATGAAGGATGGGGAAATTGTGGGGTAAAATATGATGAAAAACTGATCATATGACACTAAAATGGTGTCTACGTGCTTTGTATGTGAAGAAATTAATTACCGTCAATACTTTTTAAAAAAAATCTGCTGAGTCAGTGTTTGCAGTTTGTTTACAACTAACCCGCTTGGTCCAAGCATACTCTCACGTCTACAGAAAACATAAAATTACACCATGATGCTTTCAACAAAAGTCACTTTCATTGGTACCAGATTTCATAATAAGGAAGGTTTCTTTGGTTGGCTAGGTCTGGTTCTATCAGGTTCTAGTAAATGTTGCCTCTTAAAATGCTTACTGTAATGATAAGAACATCTGTGGAAAAAAATAAACGACATTGAACAACTCCTGCTGGTGGAACTTGGAGAATTGCACCCAAATTTCTAGAGATGTTATTTGCAGGATACTAAAAAAATCGATACAACAATGTACAAAACCTAATCGGAGGGGGGTCTGTCCCCCCCCCCCGAACCCCTCGCCATATAAACAAAAGTTATTTAGCCATATTGAGTAGCTAATGCCTCCCATGAGGTCACTTGTTATACTGAGACAAATAATGTATGTTGAATGTCACTTCCTTGCTGCATTTTAGACACTTGCAGGACCTTCCAATTAGTCCATGATAACATTTAAAGTCTTTAACATGGTCTTGAGCCTTAAGAAACACATATGGCTTGCGATAACGTATGGATTTTCCAGTAGACGATACCAGAATTGTGATCGTGAGGCAATTTAATCTCAACCATCTGATTCCGATCCTAAATATATAGAAGAGGTTTTGGAACCTATTGCGCAGAGTGGACCAGTGTGATGGTTGCCACGGGAGAATCGACACCATATTTATGGTAAATAACTTATTTCTTCCCCGACAAAACATGTGGAGATATTTTATTACCATCATATGATAATTTTTTTGCTGTCTTTTTACCCCATTTACAACATATCAGGAAAAAATGAACCAATCCTCAAAACTTTTGGTGAAAACCATTTTCTCCACTATTACTGAACATTTTATTGGTAATATTTAAGAACAAGGGTCCAGGTTAATCAGTTACCTGGTGCTTCACTCTCTCTTTTACATGTAATGTACAAACATCAGATTCTCTGATGATTGGGAGTCAAAATGATCTAACTTAGGTATCAGTTGGAAACTCAGGGCATCCCTAAGGACGATGTTAGGGATTCATCACTTCTACTGGCAGACTCTACTCTAATCTATTTGACAATTTTACTAACAGTAAATACAGTTGCAGCTTTCAACATCACTCACAAAGGATCTTGAATGTTTCATCTGTAATCATACATAACTAACTTAATATGCAACATGTTGTTTCTCTCTCAATTTCAAATCTCTGAACATGATATGAGGTACAGTATTAAGAAATATCAGAGTCTCTGAGGTACTTGAGAGAAAATGGAAGACTCGGGCATACTGAAGCGGTGAGAAAACTGATGTCTCAACTGGGGGACTCAATAAAGAAGTTACAGCTACATGTTTCATGGGCTATGGAGTGTAATATGAATCGCCTGATTTTACGTTAACTAGCATGTACGACAGTGGTCAGTACAAGGAAAAGTGATAATCTCCTACTCCAGAGGTTCCCAATGTGCAACAGATAGGGAACCCCTGCATCTAGCCAATTTGCTTTAGTCTTGAAGTAAAAAAAACAAGTTTTCATCTATAGATATTTTTCGTTAGGTATACCTGGTTAACCTGGACTATTATCGTTAAATAGTACCAATTATTGTTTCTTACGTGCAATCAGCATGAGACGAGTACTGTAATAGTAAAAGAGATTATTGCACAGTAACCACCAATTTGAAGAATTTTTCTATAGAAGGTAAATGCTTTCCAACCTCCTGAAATCCCCCCAAAATTTGAAGGAGTAATATGTGCACTGCCATATCTCCACTGTTTACATCCAGGATGTTTTGTTTCATCCACAGGGACGCTTAAGAAAAAATGAACTAATTCTCTATTACCACATTATGGATTTATCGTTGATAAAATTATTCAACCAAAACTTCCTAACGCACGTATCCTAGGTTAGATTTATTAATTTTATTTCTGACACATCATGTAATATAGAAGTAGATGGTAAGTCATTCTTTTGTAGAAGAGTTCATTCATATGAATCACAATTCAAGAGAAAATCCTGCTCATGTTTTCTTGAAATCACCAAAATAACATTATGAAATTTAATAATAGTTACAGTACGGTAGCTATATTCTTTTATTATCATGATCTATAAAAAAAAAAAAAATCGGGTGCTTTGTGTACTGTATTAAAAATGGTTACTTCTGAAGCATTCCTGTGGATGAAACTTCCAGGCTGAAAATAGTGAGGATATGGCATTGTAGCATGTGACTGTACAAAGAGTTTAGGATGTAAAAAAATATATATTTTACAGTACAGTATATAAAAAATATGTTATGCAAATTGTCCCTCCAAACCTTTTGGACTTTTCGTGAGGTAAGAAAGTACAGAACTTATCCACTACAGTACTGTACTGTATTTCTTCAGATTGCTTGTTACTGTACAAATTTCTTTTCCACTACCTGTATTATCATGAGAAGTGTGAAGGGAATGCAAAAGACCAGTTGGGTCAAGAGGTGCATGAGTCAATGTGGAGGAGAGAAGAGCAAGAAGTAGACTAATACAGGTTGACAACCC